TGAATAGATGGATAGAGAGATGAATAGCTGGCTAGAGAGATGGATAAATAGATGATAGACTAAAATATGGATGATAGAGAGATGAATAGATGGATAGAGAGATGGATAAATAGATGATAGACTAAAAGATGGATGGATGAATAGAGAGATGAATAGTTGGATAGAGAGATGGATGGATGGATGGACTGACGGACAGTTGGATGGAGATAAATGGACTAAGTGAAATGTACTTGATCAATAAATTGTCTAATCAGTTACTGTCCAGTCAGCATTTGAGCTGCATTCACTTTGACAGTTGCTTGGCCTATGAAATAATAATAATAATAATAAGTCTGCTTCAAGGGTTAAGAAAATCTCAAATATATGTGGTCTGTGGTATTAGATCAAGTGGTCAAGTTGGTACACACTGTAACTACACCATAAAGCATCTTTCTTCTTTTTTTTCTACTAAACTGACTAAATGCAGTTTTTGCAAGAAATATACAAATTGCATTTTGTTTTGTTTTGTTTCAGGACGACTCTTAAATATGTGAAATAATAGTGTTTTCCCCGTCTGCTGCATTGAGTTTTAATATAGAATGACCAGTCACGTGACATTAACATCTCAGATGATTGGCAGAAAAAGAGAAAAAAAATGGGTTCACATACTTCCAGGGGTCCTGCTCCAGCTGAGCAAGTACCATTGAGATGAATGGAAATGCTATAGATCCTCAGGTATAATAAGCTGAAGGTGAGGTGAGCTTCTGCATGTTTATTTGAATGTTTACGTAAGTGTAATAAAGACAGTTAAAGAGGGAAAGCACAGCAGGGTTTTTTTGTTCGTTTTCTCCATCACTATAATGCAGCACACGCATTACTCTCTCTGCTCGGCTCAGTGTGAACGCTGCGCTGGTATTTCCTGTTTATGCTGTAGTAGAAACGCCCTTTGAACTTTTCCAACATGCACTCCCTCAGGACATCCCCGTTCTGCACTCCGGCCCCCTGTCCAGCCTCAGCATCCCTTTGTGTTCAGTGCAAATAACACAATCAGCGTGGCCTGCACTGGCCAAGATGTTTGGAGTCTTTTGTGGTTGGGTTTGTGTGTTTGTGAATGAGTGTGTGTGAGAACCTCAACACCTGCATCACAGATGCTTTTCACCCCTCCGTAGATAAATGAGCTGTTGTATTCATTAGTAATCACAGATTAAGTCACGACTGCATGCTGTGGCAGTAAATTCTTTAACACAGAAGATTTTAAATAAATGCTGCTCTTTTGACCTTTTTATTCAGCAAAGAATCCTAAACATTATCATTGTTTCCACAAAAATATTGAGTAGCACAACTGTTTTCAACATTATTATTAATAATAATAATAATGTAATGTTTCTTAAGCAGCAAATCAATATATTAGAATGATTTCTAAAGGATCATGTGACACTGAAAACTGGAGTAATGATGCTGAAAATTCAGCTTTGCATCATAGGAATAAATTACATTTTAAAATATATTCACATACAAAACTGTAGTTTTAAAAACTAAAATATATATATATCACAAAATGACTTTTTACTGTATTTTTGATCAAATAAAGATTCTCCATTTAAAAAAAAAACATAAGTAAAAACTCTTACCAACCCCAAACATTTGAATAATCATGCACAATATATTCATGTATATTTGAGAGCAAAAATATGGCACTTTTTACCCAATCAGAGATCCTCCCTTAGATGAAATGCATTTGAGAAACATGTTAATATCAGGTGTAAAATACATCCAGAGTAATGAAAGACTGAAAACAGGTAAATATAAGATGATATTGGAAAGAAAGAGCAGGGAAATATCCATTACTGCCCACAACCAAACATTGTTACAGCGTTCAGTCCCACACTGTATCCTAATATTTATACCAGCTAACTTTCTCAACTGAGACAGAGAAGAATGATGTGTTTTGTTCCTTGTGTTGAGATTATTTACAGGCCTGCGACATTGTATTTACTCAACACCGTGAATAGATTGTTGACATTTGGCCATGAGACAGTAGACACAATGGGTGGGAAAGACCACAGCAGGCACAGAAACAGAGAGAGAAGTCTGTGCGTAAAAAGATTCTGATCAATAGGTGGACAGCCACTTGAATAAAACAAAGAGTTTGTTTTATAAATGAGCCCAGAGTGGAACTTAAGGAATGGAGGGTAGTGAAGTGCTTCTTTAGTTAATACAGGCCTCTCGGGGAGCTGAAGATGTATTGTTTCACACGCCGAGAGTCTGAGCGGATCGAGAATGGTCCAGGGGAGTGGCGTTCCAAGTTCATGTGTGTAAGTGTGTGTGTGTTACGATGGCAAGACTCGCATTCCTGCTACTGTAATCCAGAGGAGGGCCGAAAGTAGCCGCCTTCCCCCTCCCTCTCTCTCCTTGTCCTTCTCACCCTCCCTTCCTCCTTTCCTCCCTCACTCTCTCGCTCTCCCTCTCCGTACCACTTAAACGATCGCATGGTGACGGTAAGAATTTGAGCAGAAGTTAATAACCTACCGCCGAATCACGGAAAGAGCTTGATTAGTTAAAAATAGACATTTTGAACGGCAGACACTTGCCTCTTCTCCTCGATTTGGTTGTTTTCTTCTCCATCTTCAGCTGAGGGAGGTGTCCTCTATATTCTCAGTCACCCCAAGCAACCTTACAGATCGCCGTGCTGCCTTTGGGTATGCCAGGGGTAAGTATGTCTACTGACCGTACGCTCAAACATATGCTATGCATCACTGTCTCAGGTGAGTTTAGAAGGTCATGAGCAACAGGTGCATCTCAAAGGATGCAGTCGCTTGTATTGAGAATATATGTTTGCTCATATATGGATTTAAATGGCTGATTTGTTTCTTGTAATGTTGGCAAAGTCATGTCACCTCAGTGTGAACAAGGTACTCGAGGCTGCGCATGTTGTCTGGTTTGTTTAGTGGCGCTTATATAAAGTGGTTAGAAGTTCTTCAACTGATCCGTTTGTTGCAGTATGTGTTACTGGTCATTTTGGTGGGAAGGAAACTGCTAGTCTGGCAGAGTTCAGATTAACGTGTGCACACAGAGTAGCACTATAATCTGGATTAGTGGTCTGAAGGTGGCTTACACCATTAATTAAGCCAAACAAAGATCAGCTAATGTTGATTTTACATTCTTGTGTGTTTGTGCGAGGGATGTTTATGGTTGCGGATTGGTGTGTGTGTGTGTGCGTGCACGTGCAGTCACGATTTGGTTGCAAGAGTTCACAGTGGCTTTCTACAGGGTGCTTTGGAATTTCAAGTGTTTTGTTGCGTTCGCAGGAACATGTGCGTTTGGCATCCGTTTATGCATGTGTGAAGGAACATGAGTGGTTTGTGTGCGTTTTAAACCTACACAAACACACACAAATTGTATACATGCAACTAATTGTGTGCACATGTGCTTGTATACAAATATACACACCAAATGTAAACTTCTAAGTGTGTGTTTCTTGTGTGTTCAGTTGTTCAGCATGTGTAGCTGATAAATTCATAAAACTGTTACATGATGAGGTTTTCATAGTATTGTTACAACATTTTGTTAATGTTGCTGTAACATTTTGATAGTGTCAATATAGCAGTCCATAGTGGATTCCTGTTTTTCCACTCTGCTGGAACACACTGTCTGTTCAACCTTTCCTGTTGTGTTTCTCATACACACTCCACCGCAGTGGCCTGGATAGTGTGTGTGTGTGAGTGTGTGTCTGCTCATTGTTGTTTGTGCTTTGATCGAAATAGTTACAAGCAGTCCTCTGGTACGAAAACAATTTCCTTAGACTAATAAATATTAAAATTGTTATTGCTTACCCTTTCTTTACCTAAGGCTAAACACATTGTTTAATCATCTTTGTTTTTTGCTTGCATGTATGAGCTATTCTTTGAAAGAAAACGAGAAAGAGAAAAGTACTAACCATGCCAACCTTGGCATTGCAACCACACATTCCTGTCTATTAGATATGGATATATTTACAGAGAGTTTCATGTTCAGCTCTCAAGTACCCACAGGATATTGCCAGATATGCTTCATAGCAAGAATACTAGGAACATGATAAATGTTTTTAACTTCAACATATTACAAAATAATTGAATTGTAAAATAGACTTTGTTTGGTTGATGCACATTCAAATGTTGATTATTTTTTTTAAATGTTTCAATAAAAATTGTTCTGCTACTTTTCCAAATATCTGTTTGCTGTATTTTTTTTTTTAGGGTATTGAGTTGTTAGTAGCATTTTGGAACTATTGGTTACAGCTATTTGTGTGATGGGAGTTGCTGCTTATGTAGAGCAGTGTTGGACAGCGTTCAAGACCATATTTTCTTGTCATGGACTTGAGAGCATGTAGACTCAATCCTCTTCTGGTCCTGGTCTTGACTATAACACTGATGAGGAACATTTCAAATAAGTCACAAACAATTCCATTTCAGTTTTGATGCTGTTTTTAAAAGCACCTGCCTATATTGGTAGAAAATAACAACACATCATGTGTTAACAGTGTTCTCCATTTGTGTGTTTCAGGGATGCCGCTCAAAGATGGCAGCCTGCTCCTGGATCCAAGGGAATTGAATTGTAAAATAGACTTTGTTTGGTTGATGCACATTCAAATGTTGATTATTTTTTTAAATGTTTCAATAAAAATTGTTCTGCTACTTTTCCAAATATCTGTTTGCTGTATTTTTTTTTTTTTTAGGGTATTGAGTTGTTAGTAGCATTTTGGAACTATTGGTTACAGCTATTTGTGTGATGGGAGTTGCTGCTTATGTAGAGCAGTGTTGGACAGCGTTCAAGACCATATTTTCTTGTCATGGACTTGAGAGCATGTAGACTCAATCCTCTTCTGGTCCTGGTCTTGACTATAACACTGATGAGGAACATTTCAAATAAGTCACAAACAATTCCATTTCAGTTTTGATGCTGTTTTTAAAAGCACCTGCCTATATTGGTAGAAAATAACAACACATCATGTGTTAACAGTGTTCTCCATTTGTGTGTTTCAGGGATGCCGCTCAAAGATGGCAGCCTGCTCCTGGATCCAAGGCTGCCATGTTGGTGAAAGTTAACAGCATTGGAAGAAACCAATCTCTGGGTCCAGCTACTGCCCACCAACGTCTCCACCTCAACCCCACCAACACTAGCACTTCTCCCAAACCAGGTTACACAGCGCAACTTGACAGAACAGGTTTGCTCAGTAAAATGGCAGTTCCTGGAGACTCCAAGCAGGGTTACCACCTCAAAAAGGGGGATGCCAACTTCTGTCTTGTTTTGCCACCTTCTATTTCTTCATCTTACTCTGCCCACCAGTGCTCTGGTGCAGGTACACCTCGCCCCTCCTCTCCTCAATACGGAGCTACACCCTCAGCACCCATCTACGACGAACCTCCACCCATTGAGCCCCCAATTTACGATGAACCCCCAGTGGAAATGGAAGTAGAAGGTGCGCACCACTTACACCGAGTTCCCTACCCCACCAGTCACAGCCTGCCAAGAGGAACCCAGCCTCCTAAACTCCTCCAGTTCCCCCATTCCAAACACATCTGCAGCTCCTCAGCTAGTGAATACAGTCCGGCCGGCTGGGAGTGCATTAAACACATGGTGAACGTGGATGCAGCTGCATCCAAGCACCAGCCCCAGACAACTAACCCCATCGAGGGGCCTTCAAATACAGCCAGTCCTCAAATCCAGCCCCAGTCTCCAGTATCTGCCCAGATTAAGAGGGAAGTTTCTGTAGAGAAGAAGCAATCATGGAGGCTGTTGGAACCCCGCCACAGCCGTCAAAGCAGCCTGGCCTCTCAGGAGTACCCAGGCCCTGCTGCCGTCACGTATCAGGACTCTGGCTATTCCACTGGGCCGTCCCCAAGTCTGCGAAGGAAGAACCGACGTCGTGCAGCTCTTGGCACTGGGTCGGGTCGACCTGGATCGGTGGGCAGCAGTGGGGAGTTGAATGCATTAAATGAGAAGCTGATGGCGGAAATGAGGGCGGTGGTAAACTGTTCCAATGCCCTTCATGGAAGCAAGGCCAGTCTGGACACTGAGATGGGCTCAGAGGCTTCTGGTAGTACTGCCCGCTCCCCAGTCTGTTCATTGAAGATGGGTGCGAGAGGGGGTGAATCGAGGGAGGATGTGACATCAAGTAACCGATCACTGTACAGGAGAGGGGGCAACAACCACAGTGACGTCATTCTGTCGCCACTGGTGACAGATGGTCTCGGAGGTCGGCAGAAAAGGACGTATGAGAAAGTGGATTCGCTGGAGAAGAGCGTAACATCGCAGACCAGCTTGTCATCCCCGGAACCACCAAGGTCACCCTCACAGGTACCAACACTTTTTGCAGCTGTCCACTTGCTTGAGTGTGTACGTCTGGAAATGTTATGGTCGATCCAGTGCAGCAATCTGGCTTACTCCCTTTTCTACCAAGTTTTTCATTTGTTCCTTTTCTTTAATTACCCTTTCCTTTTTCATGACTCCTCACATTCTATGGCCCCACTGTGTCTAATAGAGTTCCTCGGAGTGGAAAAGCAAAGCAATGCTTCCCATCCGGTCGTTGTAGAAACTATGCAGGAGATGCGAGGCTGGGGGTTTCCTGAGCTGAAGAGGGTGTGAATGTTCCATTCTAAGGAGATTTACTTTGTCTGTCTGTCTGTCTGTGTGTGTGTGTGTGTGTGTTGTGCTTAGATTAAGAGGATTGTACAAAGGTCAGTTGTTGTTTTTCTCATGAAAGAAAATGTGCAGGAATAAGGGGAAAATGGTGAGTTTAGTGAGCAAGCGATTGATGGACAAGGAGATGTAAAGGAGTCAAAAGTAAAAGATCAGCTATAAGTGAGCGCGTGTTTGTGTATTTGTTTGTTTGTGGAAGATGTACATATGGGAAGCAAGTATCGGGTAGCAAGTAGGTCAGTGTAGAGCTAGAGCCAAATTACTTTTTCAGACCATCATTATGGATGACTGTATTTAATGTAGAATATGTTTTATGTGGATGGACGCATACTGGTCATAATAAAGGCAGAAAACCTATATCATTTGTTACCTGCCACCACCATTCAGCCCACTTTGTAGTGAACTTTATCGCAAAATTGCTGCTTTTTTAAGATACCCTCTCACAATACTGGAACTGTCTGCAGACAGTGGAACTCGAGTAATCTGCTTCGTTATACAATGGAAGTCGAGCAGGAACACTTAAGCCCAAAGTATACTTCATTTTTGTACATGTACGTTAGCGTATGCATACAGTCAAACACAAAGGCTTTTAAAGTATACTTCATTTTATAGCGTTCTTGAACACTGGCGGTCGACCTATATGCTCAAGAAAGGTTAATCTTAGTCCAGTGTCTGTGCTCTTTAGTATCTGTCTCTTTCGTTTCATTTTTTTTAATCTGAAACAGCAGCCTGGGCCAGTGTTGCCACCTTGTGGAACAACTGAATACTGTAAAACAAATTGAATGCGCATGTGTGACCTGCGCTCGGCTACAAAAATTCAGGTGGTGCACGTACAGTATGCGCGTACTAGTCTGGTGACGAAATTTGCGTCACGCACTGCACACAGACCCTCGTGTATGCTTAAAAATGAAGGGATGCGAGAAGTTTTGATAGACCTGGTATTGCGAGACTTCTAGTTGAGGGTTCCAAGTCGTCTTTTTTTTCCTGAAGCAAATTAAAAATAACATGGCTTGGCAAACAATATGTTCGTGTGGTAATATATCCAAATAAATTAATACGTGTGGAAAAAATCCTCACCCTTCTACCACGCGCTCTCTGTTCTCCTACAAACTCTTCAAATGCATATTCAGTGCAAAAACAACTGTGTTCATGCCTTTTCAGCGCTAATTTAGTAACACAATCACTGCGCGTCTTTAGTAACACCTGACAATACATTTTAACGCCAAAAGATAGTTTGCTGTTAGTAAAACTGGCCCCAAGTGTTTTGGATTCAGGCTCTACATTTGATAGCATTAGCATGCATGTTAATGCAGTTCTTGAAGTGTGCTGGAAATACTGGAACATAAATTAATCTTTAGTCTGTGCTCCACCAGAAACAACCTGTTCGTTTTAAAACATAACAGAAATACAAGCCTTGGGGCCTCATGTATATACATTGCGTATGCACAAAATGGGCATAGAAATGTGCGTTCGCTGTTTTCCACGCACGTATCTGGATTTATAAAAAATAACTTGCCGAAAAATAAGTGCACAACGTACGGATGGAAGGATTTTAAACTCTGTTTTCATTTCGATATACACATTTACATTAAATATCCCACTCTCATTAATGGAGATAAGCACTGAAATTACATAGTCATTACGCAGAAGTTATACCAAAATTATATGAATTTAGACATATTTGTAGTTGATGCGCTTAATCAATTTTCCTGTGGCATGCAATATTTTAATGACAGCGAGGAGAGCTATAATAATTCATATTTAAACTAAACTGCAGATCTCATGTTGTGAGAATTTGTTTAGCGAGAACAGTGATCAATGATGCACACTTACTTCGATATTATGGCGGACACTGCTGGATTCGGTGGTCGGTTGATGTTGTGTGAAGTGATCTCCACAACATTATGAAAAATACCACTGTATTTGAAGGATACAACTTAAAAAAATAAAAATAATAAAAACGGTAAGATTTGCCTGTTTCCTTTTTAAAACACTTTGTCAGTGATGCGCCGAGTCAGACAATTGTATTTACACTGCGATAAATAGGCTATAGGCTTATCTGTTTCCATTAAAATTAGCTAAAAGGTGTTCACCTTTTCAGCAAAACTGCATACATTTGATTTGATTTGAATGGTTTAAAACAATTGAAATACTATTTGGCCACTGAGGTCAAGTATATTCTAAAATAGGCTATTTATCTGAGAACTAAACAGTTTTGTTTTTATGGATATTTTGATATATTCTAAAACATAGGCTACTGGATGATTTTGACAATGAAAATGAAAATGGCATTTAGTCCGTACCTCATATTTCCTTTACGTCTTGTACCTTTGACGGTGTTAAACATGGTGTCACGTGGATGGGAATATGCATGGAAATGATATGCAGATGAGGTTATGCATCATAAAAATGAGACGACGTAAGCTCCATATATGGTGATTTCGGGGAGGAGATGGGGTGGAGATGCACGTACACACAATCTTCCCCTGACTGGGATTTATAAAGGGATTTTTGCACAGGTTCTGGCGTACGCATGGTTTTATAAATCTGAAAACTTTTGTGCGTACGCAAAATATAGCTTTTGTGCCTACGTACACTTTAAGAATGAAATCTACGGAGAGTTTTATACATGAGGCCCCTGGTGCTATTTGCAGAATAATTGAGAAAGGAAAACAGAGACCGGACCAGTCGCCTCATTCACACAGCCAGGTGTTGTGGTTGTACAAGACAGTCGGCTCTTACAGCTCACTGTGATTTGGCACATTCGGGTAATGTGTTTCGATGTGTGTGCTGACCGTTCCATTTGTCATTAGTGTAGTGCTCCACATGTGGTTTGGCTTCTCCTGGGGAGCATAAGTTGGAGTTAATATTATGGATCTTAATACACTAGGAGAGATTTGTCATCAATCAAATGATCATTAACCATTAAAATAATTACATCCATAAAGCTAGGTTAAAATGGACTTTGCCTTAAGCACTATGTTAATGTTTGTGAATGGATAATGTTTACTCAGTATTTCAAACACGGCCAAATTTAGTATTTGGCCACTGAGGTCAAGTATATTCTAAAATAGGCTATTTATCTGAGAACTAAACAGTTTTGTTTTTATGGATATTTTGATATATTCTAAAACATAGGCTACTGGATGATTTTGACAATGAAAATGAAAATGGCATTTAGTCCGTACCTCATATTTCCTTTACGTCTTGTACCTTTGACGGTGTTAAACATGGTGTCACGTGGATGGGAATATGCATGGAAATGATATGCAGATGAGGTTATGCATCATAAAAATGAGACGACGTAAGCTCCATATATGGTGATTTCGGGGAGGAGCTGGGGTGGAGATGCACGTACACACAATCTTCCCCTGACTGGGATTTATAAAGGGATTTTTGCACAGGTTCTGGCGTACGCATGGTTTTATAAATCTGAAAACTTTTGTGCGTACGCAAAATATAGCTTTTGTGCCTACGTACACTTTAAGAATGAAATCTACGGAGAGTTTTATACATGAGGCCCCTGGTGCTATTTGCAGAATAATTGAGAAAGGAAAACAGAGACCGGACCAGTCGCCTCATTCACACAGCCAGGTGTTGTGGTTGTACAAGACAGTCGGCTCTTACAGCTCACTGTGATTTGGCACATTCGGGTAATGTGTTTCGATGTGTGTCAGCCATGATTAATTTATTCCAATTACTCGTTGGACATTGGTTATCACAATCTGAGTATTTGTCTGGTCATGAGATTTCAAAATAGCTGCCTGACCCACTCCATGTTAAAGCTGCAGTCCGTAACTTTTTTTTAGTAAAAAATTATCCGAAATCAATATTTGAGCAAGTACATAACCAGCCAGTGTTCAAAACTATCGCCTTACTTTAGCCCGATTCACAATGGTTAGCTTATAATAATGTTTTCTAATGTGAGTAGTACGGGTAGTTTCTCGCGGGAAATTCGAGCATGGCACTGCGTCATTACGTCACGTATGTAAACTTAAAGAAGTTGTCCCGGCTACTAGGCTAAATATCGCACAACAAAAAGTTGTTATCGTGACAGGCCTAGTTGTGTCACATGCTTGGCTGTCACCACTGAAATACTAAAGAATCAAAGAGCTCACATTTCTCTTGTTTTTGTAGATTTGTCTGTCCACATTTAACGTGAAACTGCAGCGCAATGTGACACGATCACATCACAGTTTTTCATAGTCAGCCATGATTAATTTATTCCAATTACTCGTTGGACATTGGTTGAAAATCCGTTACCAGTGTTGGGGGTAGCGCATTACAAGTAGGGCTGTCAGTCAATTTCAATTTTTTATCTAATTACAGGGTGCTGTGATTAATTATATTAATTAATATTGGCAGTTTAACCCAAACTAAATTTGGCTGTGAAAATACCCCCAAAAGATAATTTAAATCTATTATTGTGTTAAATATTTAGGCTATAATGGCCTAACAAAGTATGGGGCATAAAAGAAGATAATTTGAGAAACATCTTAGTATTTTTTGTTCATGCAATGAAAGTCACTAGTGACCAAAACAGCTTAGTTATAAACAGTATTTAAAATACCTTCTTTTATGTTGTGCAAAAGAAAGTAAGTCATTCAGGTTTGAAACAACATGAGGGTGAGTAAATGATGACAGAATTTCTTTATTTCTTTTTGGTGAACTATCCCTTTAATCCCTTTAATTAAAAACATTTTTAATAAATGAAATGATACTCTAAAGAAGAAACTAAATCTACCAGCAGGTGGCGGTAAATGTCTTTATGAGTCAGTTCGTTCAAATGGCTGATTCATTCAGGAATGAAGTAAACGGCTCTCTTTATGAATGGGCTACTGAATCATTGGTTCACACGATTCATTCAAAACGCGGATTCATTCACCGCTGTGTTGCTCACCAGAGTTGCCAAGTCCACGTATTATACGCGACTTTGGGCATTTTCTTTGGGCAGTTTCTTTTTTTTGTGTAAAGTTACGTGAAAAATCCCGGGTCGAGGGTTGTGGTTTTTTGGGCTTATTTAATAAATATGGTTGCTTGTTAAGGAAATCTGACAAGCAACTTTGTTTCTTTATGTTCGCCGTATCATCCAATGCATTGATTGACACTCTGTCTGCTCGCAGTTAATAGCAACCAGTGCAATAATATAAACGTGCTGCAGCGTAATTTGCCAAATGTTCTGCCCCCACCTTCCCCTCATTGGAGAAAAATCACGTTCAAAAAGAAGGCGTGTGCCGCTGTAATCCAAGCAATGATAGAAGTAGACATAGAGGAGTGGGATGACTTTCTTTTAGCCTCATTTTTTATTTTTACAATGTTTTTGTAATGTATTAATTCTCACTGGCTGTAATAAAAAACAAGTAGTCCAATACTAATACTAAGAGTAAATATGGGTCGAATAGCCAATATTTTAGTAGGCTATAAATAGGTGGCTATGTTACAGCTCCCCTTTAAAGCTCTTCTGTTTTTCTCCTATTCCATCTGTCCAATCCTATTCTGCTCACAGGTGAGATGAGTTTTGTTCCCACTTTGTTGCAGTTTGCTGCTCTTTGTAAAATAACTTCTGTTTTTGCTTTTCAGATAAAAAGAGTGGTTTCAGTTTAATATGTTGCAGGCTCATTTATTGGTAATAAATAATATTGATGATGATAAATCGTCAAAAAATATTGGGTTTGTTTTGGGCTTGTTTTTGAAGCTGCGGTTGCTTATTTATCTTGCGAGAGTTGGCAACAGTGTTGCTCACAGACGCACAACAATTCTGCTGTGGCTTTTAGGTAATATTTTTGTTGGCAAAATTGAACAAAAACACAAAATTGTGTTTAAAATATAGCACAATATTAACTTCTTATTTACTGAACTGTTGTACTATAAAATCACATTTGCACTCATGTTCTTCGTGACAAAAACAGCACTCCTGTGATATTACTCTCGCTGCTCATGTGGTATTGCTTATCATATGATATAAATATGAGACAAAAACTCATACAGAGGCATTTTTGCCCTAATATCTTGAATTTTAGGGCATAACTGCATTTATGTTGTTGTTGCCCTGCATCATATTTGTCAGTCCACTGTATGAAATGTAAGATGATTAACTGCGTTAAAATATTTTAATCGCGTTATTTTTTCATAACTAATTAAGTTAATGCGTTAAACTGACACATTACAAGTAATGTGAGTTACTGTACATAATCATTACTTTGTAACTAGTAAAGTAACACATTACTTTTTAATTTACAAGAAAATATCTGTTACTTTTTCAAATAGGTAATGCCAGTTACTTTATTTTCCTATTTATGAACTTACAGCTCTTACTTACAGCTCTTACTCAACTTACAACTTACAAGAGGCCAAAATGACTTTAGATAAACATAACATTTGTTTCATTTATTTTTTTACTGCTGAAGATTAAATGAACTTTCTTCTTCTGCATCCTATTCTTCATGCAATATTGAATGGCAGCACAACTAAAAGGTTTGTTTGAGAGTGAATTTACATTGCCTTAAAGGGGTCATATGATGCGATTTCAATTTTTCCTTTCTCTTTGGAGTATTACAAGCTCTTGGTGCATAAAGAAGATCTGTAAAGTTGCAAAAACTAAAGTCTCAAATCCAAAGAGATATTCTTTATAAAAGTTATGAGTCAGCCACACCTACCTAAAATGGCTCGTTCTAACACGCCCCCACATGTCTACCTCACTATGTGGGAAGATTTGCATAACACCACCCAAATGTTCACGCAAAGAAAGAAGGCTTAACTTTTAGTCTCACTGTAGTATTGTTGACGCTGCAGCCATGTCGTGAAGACGCTGTGTGCTTCGTTGTGAAAGAGAAACTACTTTGTTTGGTCTTCCAAAAGAGGACGATATCCGCTTCGTCATGCCTAGAGCTGATCTGTGCTGGTCGCTGAGGGAATACATCAACTTTCACCGTGGACGAAGAGGAGTTCAGCCCGGGGTCCGTCACATGTGGTTGCCGCTCATTCGTCGCATCCGCCGGGCACGCCGTTCTCGACTCCGCCCCTCAGCTCACGCTAGCCCGGCCTCAGCGCATGCTTAGCCGGGGCTTCCCCTCACGCTAGGCCGCTGTGTTTTTCGTTGTGAAAGCGAAACTACTTTTTTTTGGTCATCCAAAAGAGGACACGACTACAAATCAGTGGTTAATTTGTATTTACAACACTGTTCCAGAACAGTTTAACCCAAATATCCAGATGTGTGCAGCACATTTTATGGAGGCCTGTTCACTGATGCTGGTAGGGTAACGTTAGACTAAAATGCCGGCAGTTCTGACTCACAGACTGTAAGTACGTTTTCATTTAAAGGATTTGCCACTGATGATTCAAACGTGAGTTTTGGGCAGTGTGGAGTAGCACTTGTTGTTTGTCATTTCTCTGATCACAAATGCAGACAGGGTTTTATGCGATGCATTGCAACGCAACGCGTAAAAAGACAGTATAAGTCATTATAATCAGTAATTATGTCTCCACTGGATGCAACAAATGCCTCATTTGTAATGGGTTTTAATGTTTTTGTCTCGTCGCTCCGGCCGGGACACGGCATCAACAGTATGGTGAGGGGCGTAACATTTCCGTCTCACGCTTGAGGTATTCAACCAATCACAACGCATTGGATAGCTGGCCAATCACAGCACACCTCGCTTTTTCAGATCGATGAGCTTTGTAAAAATCGACGCGTTTCAAAAAGGCGGGGCATAGAGGAGAAACAATAATGTACAGTATGTGGAAAATAATGTGTTTTTTAAACTTTAAACCGCATAAACACATTTCATTACACCAAATACACAAAATAATGTTATTTTTAGCAGCATCATATGACCCCTTTAAGCCTGAGGGAATGAAAGGGCTTTTACATTTTCCAAAATAATTTTTTATATATATTAAAACAAACAAGCAAACCCAGATCAGAAAAAGTAAGGCAAAAGTAGCGTAACATTACTTTCTATAAAAAGTAATGTAACACATTACTTTCCGTAAAAAAGTAACTAAGTAATGCAATCAGGGATTATTACTAATAATCATTACTTTATCAGGGAGTAACAATATTGCATTACTTTTAAAAGTAACTTTTCCCAACACTGTCTGTTACACTTGCATGTATGCTACAACAAGGAAGAAAATATCTATTGCTACTTTCGTTCCATCATGATATTTTTTTTTTTAGAAATACTATTCCTTTAAATGTGTATGTGAAAATTTTTAAATGAGAGAAAAATGCATTAAATTCAGTTATTAAATTAATTTTCTTCAGTGTGGAACCAGTCGGACAGGGATTTTTTGGAGCATTAATGAGTTAGGAAAGAGAGAGAAAGGAGGAGAGAGAAGAGGGGAGGCAGTAATGTTTGAAGTTGGGATGCGATTTCCATATTGGGTCACCTATTTAGGGAGTGAGCGTAATCCATGTGAACGTTTCCAGGTTTCTGCAGGGAAACTGAGTAAGCCAATCAGCTGCAACCTACGCAACACACGCACTCGGATTCAAGTGCTTGCGGCAGTCGTAAATAAATGCAAATAAACGCTAGAACAGCTGCATCCGTACTGACATCTTTCTGTTTCTCAATCTTTCTTTTTGTCTCCAGACAGGAACACTGGAATCCAAAACTCAACAGGACATCTCGCCCCAGGACTGTGACCATGACAGAGCGGGTCGTGGAACCGCCCACCTCAGCCATAAAAACAACAACAACCGTCCCACCCCTCCTTCCCTTGCCAGCACGGGTTCTGGTTACCAGTACCCATACACCACCCTCTGCAAGCCTACACCCGATGCCAACATGGAGGACTGGGCCAGCAAGAACCTTAACCAGCACACGCAGGGCCTGTTTCGCCGGCGCGTCTCCATTGCTAATATGCTCTCGTGGAACCGTGGCTCCATTAAGAAACCAATGCTGATCATCAGCGACCGGTCTGTCAAGAAGGAAGCCTGCGAGATGTTCAAGCTGGTCCAGGCCTACATGGGCGACAGGCCAGCCAGGTTGGACAAACGCCTTGCAGCCCTTCAAGTGGTCACGAAGTGCTGGGGGATGCAAGGCTTGAGGGATGAACTGTACGTGCAGTTGGTGCGACAGACCACCGGAAACTTGAGTTTGAGGAGCTTGGAGGCGGGCTGGGAGTTGATGGCCATCAGCCTAGCGTTCTTCTCGCCTTCGCCCAAGTTTAGGCGCTATTTGGAAGGCTACATCCAGCGACACCTTGAGCCCAGTACTGATAAGAAAAGTAGGTCATTTCAAATATTTATTATAGATGAATTGGTTTACTTTGAAGGTTTATGTCTAATGCAATTGCATTCATACATTTATAAATGTGGTTTAAGTGTCCAGATACTGTCACACCCCATTTTTTAAAATAGGCAATAAAGTGCACTATCCAAACTTAAATTGTTGTAATTTATGAACACTTTGGAATACAGACCTACGGTTGGTCTCTTTTTAAAGAAGAAAATCAGCAGATTATTGTGGAAGTTTTTCAAAATAATTCAAGTATCAAAAAGTTATAGACGTTTAAATTTACTGTAAAGAAAATGCGCTATACAAGTTTTATTTCATTTTATATATAGTAAATATTTTACATAACAGGTTTTACTCTAAAATTTGTATAAAATTAAAGCCTTGTGTCTAAATAAGTTATGTTCCAAATTTGAAGTTGATATGAAAAAAATTTAGGTTTCTGTGAGATTTTATTTAGGGTGTTATACCACAAACAGCCACCGGGTGCCATCCAAAAACTCCATTGAATTTTTTTAATGCATTTTTCTGTCACAAATGTCTAGATTTCTCTGTAAATCTTACTTCTATCTCAAAATACCACCAAATATGGAATCCTGAGACTCAGCCCTTTCCAATGATATGTATTTTGCCAAGATTATAAAAGGTTTTGATTGTAAAATACCGTAATACATTTTGTAATATGACACTTGACACCGCCCACTAAGGGGGAGGAGACCGCCAAAAGATTTTAAAGTACCATTTCCATGGTAACACAATGTCCAATTTCAAAATGGTTTGCACAGGATGAATCTTGGGCTTCTAAGCTTTCAAATGATATATAATTTAGGACTAGTGTAATACAAATAGGACTAGTGTATTTCTTGGATAGTCCAGTGTTTTTGTTTGTGGGACAGGAAAAGGACACACACAGGGGAGTGTTTATATTTTAGGCTGTCCCATATAGATTCAAAGCCTGAAACACTTATATACATACAAACAGAGCAGGCCAATATTGGTTACACTGCTAAAATTATTATGGCATTGTGCCTACCCAAACAGGATGCAACGCTGTGGAGGAGAGAAAAATAAAACGCAGGGGTTACTGCAGGTGAAACGTCACAGGTCATGGAACAATAAAGTCATGTATTTTTCGGACGGACTGTTGGAGCATATGAGTGTTCACAATTAATAGTTTTATTGTATCCGACAGTACTGCAGCACATCATGGAGCAGCAGGACATAAAAAACAAGAAGAATTCAAAATCCGGGAAGAAGAGGAGACAGAACAATGAGGAAGAAGAGGGTGAGTTTATGGTGGAATGAGTCATTTGGCTTTCTTTCAATTCATAAGTTGGTATTTAAAGTGAATTGGCAACACCCGTCAGGAATCTATCATTCTTTCTTTTTATCATTCTATCTTGTCTATCTTTTTATCCATCCATTCATCCATAAGATCCATCCATCCATCCATCTCTTTCTGTCTGTCTATCGTTCTATCTGTTGTTCTATAGTTGAATCCGTAGTGAATGCTGTTTCATGTTGTTTTTCGTGTTCTGTAAGCTAAAGCATCCTTAATCTTTAACTGAAAGAGAGGCTCCAGTGTCAAGGGGGTTTGGTATTCAATGTAAATAAGGGAATCTTCCTGGTAACACGTTTGGCTGAGGAGGGAGAGTATTAATGATGCTTTGGGTCCGCTGGTGGAGGAGGACCACTCAAAGAGAGAGCAGCTGGCCAAGCACAGAAGGGGAGTATCCCCCTCCTCTCTCCCTTTCTCACTCTCTCTTTTAGAGGCAAGATTAAAGCTTTGAGCAACAAGACATTCTGCGAGTCCCACGCTTCCCTGGCCCGTAGCCAGACTGTGCAGGCAAAGAGAGAGAGAGTTTGTGGGTTGAGAGGCAACAAAGATCCTGAGAACGTCTTTCAGTCTTGAAGCGATAGTGATTGGAGATGGAAAGAAAAAGAAGAACAGGCGGATTGAGACAAAAAAGGAGAACGGGACATTTTTATCAGGTTACACCCTCAGTGGCTGCCATCCAACTTAACCCTCAGCTTGTTCTTTTAACTCTCTTCTATATTCCTCGCGCACACATTGAGCCTTTCTCAAGAGCCCCGCTCCAAAACAAAGAGTTTGACGAGACAGCTCTGCGTGGGCTCTTAATAATGCAGCTCCAGCCTGGCCTTGGTTAATTACACTGTGTGCTGTCTTCACAGGGGCAGTGCCATGAGACATGTGCTCTCTTCACGATCACCAGTTAAGTAATGACCACTGCCACTGTTTGAGATGGAAGGCTTAAATGTACTGTCATTACCAATACTGTATATCATTTAGTACTAAATACTTATTACATGGACAGTACATCTGGAGCAAGTGTTCATGGATCACCTTTTGAGGGATTCGAACCTACAGACTTTGCCACCAGCCCCGATCTTTTAGTTCATTAACTGTTTTACATGTGATTCATCATTTTATTACTACCCTCTGACTGACTTTGATGAAGCCGTTGCACTGACTGATACATCACAGTGTGAACTCAACGAGGAGTTCAAAAGCACTCAGCGGGCGACAATTAGCGGACTGCATTTCATATCTGAAATGGGAGTGAGAGTGTTGAACCCTCTGGTGTTGGTGTCCACTTAAGTGAACATTTTAGAAGCAATTTTTAATAATTAAGGGTAGGGGTGTAATGTTTCAGTATTGTTACGCTACAGCAGGGGGGAAAATTAAACTTTTTTTTTTTTAATTATTAAACAGTGGTTTACTAACAAATAGTTCTTTCTTTAAATAAATTCAATTATAACTAATATTTTACTAGGGATAAAAATCTAGGGAGCCCTTTTATATTACTATAAGGTTACAGTTAACAATAGAGCCCAAACATAAATTCAATTACTATTTATTTTTAAATATAATAATCAACACTCAACTTAAAATAAATTGTATGCAAACATGTAAACACATAATGCAGTTTTTAAATTAACTTCTAAATGATAAAATGTCTTATTGAAATATATGGCTGTCATAACTTATTTCATAACAGATTTATTTAAACATACATTAAATAATTAAGACATCACTAACAGGTAAAGTCAAATATAATGGGCCAGATTATTACAGGGCAAATTAGCTTGAGAGCGCAATTCCAAAACAGCGCCAAAGGGGGTGGAAATTTCTGCGGATGAATAACTGACAATGTGCAAATAAAAAAAACCAGACGCAACATTTCATTTACATATCGACCAACGCAATATACCAAGTGCAGTGTAAATAAGCAGAGCCGATGCTCATCAGGTGCGGGTGATCTACTTACGATACAGGTGCAAAATAGTTTAAGACATGCTTTTTTGGGGCGTTAAAACAATGGCGCAAATACCAGTAATTTAATGAGCGCAAACGTTAGTAAATCGCATTGCGTAATTCATTTGAATACTCGTCTTTTTGCATCTGAAAGGGAAACTTCTACAAATGCATATTCAATAAGGTCAGGCGCCACATAATGCAGTTTTTAAATTAACTTCTAAATGATAAAATGTCTTATTGAAATATATGGCTGTCATAACTTATTTCATAACAGATTTATTTAAACATATATTAAATAATTAAGACATCACTAACAGGTAAAGTCAAATATAATGGGCCAGATTATTACAGGGCAAATTAGCTTGAGAGTGCAATTCCAAAACAGCGCCAAAGGGGGTGGAAATTTCTGCGGATGAATAACTGACAATGTGCAAATAAAAAAAACCAGACGCAACATTTCATTTACATATCGACCAACGCAATATACCAAGTGCAGTGTAAATAAGCAGAGCCGATGCTCATCAGGTGCGGGTGATCTACTTACGATACAGGTGCAAAATAGTTTAAGACATGCTTTTTTGGGGCGTTAAAACAATGGCGCAAATACCAGTAATTTAATGAGCGCAAACGTTAGTAAATCGCATTGCGTAATTCATTTGAATACTCGTCTTTTTGCATCTGAAAGGGAAACTTCTACAAATGCATATTCAATAAGGTCAGGCGCAAAAAATAACTCTGTCCACACCTTTTCAGCGCTAATTTTTCACTGTGCATTTTTAGTAAATCCTAACAGTACTATTTTAACGCCAAAAGACGGTTTGCGCTGGTGCAAGCTGTTAGTAAATCTGGCCCAATGAGTCTAATATTTCGCGAAATGCTCTTCTCTAGACTTAATTTCTCTAGTGAACTAACAAGCTGTGGATACTGATGACTTGCCTGAGGTAAATGAAATGCTACGTGACATTTTGTTTTGATGTAGTTGAAACACTGATTGAGAGATTACATGAGGCATGAGATGTTCATTCATGTTTATTTTAGTTAAAACTAGTAGTAAAGAGAAAGGGATGATCGCGCTCACTCGCGCTGTGCTGTTGTTTGAACTAAAGCATTCATACAGCGATCTGTCACGCCACATCAAAGCATGACATTATAGTTTGAATTTCCTGAAAAAAAACGACATATGAAAGATGAGACTTTGTCTCTTATCAAAAGTAACAGTAAATAAAACTGGAAGTTTCCAATGAAGTTTCACTTGTGCAGTAATTTGCTGTAGTTGCACATGCATACCGAACTGAAAAATTTTCTGTACGAATGCGTGTAACTTTACTCTCCTAATTCAGGTTACATCATCATTTTCAGACCACAATGGTTGATAATCATTGACCTTTAACCATAATTTTATACTTTGTCATTGTGCTGTTTTTGTGCTATTCCCCATTAATCGCATAAGATGGGTTGTAGTTTCATCAATTGGATACAGCAACACTATAGGTTTCATGTGCCATTGGCATACAATGAATAAGATCATGATCTTTGAACTTCATGGTAAAGATTAAAGGATTTGTGGGAGGAATTATGGTGGCATCCATGTTTGTAAGAGCGTTGAGTTCCAGCTTACCCAGAAAAACAATGGCTTTTCAAATCCCAGCGTCGTGTGTTGTTGTGGAAGCCAAATGTCAGGAATGTTGTTGTGGTTCTAGTGGATGGAAAATACAAAGTGTTAGTAAATCTGGCCCAATGAGTCTAATATTTCGCGAAATGCTCTTCTCTAGACTTAATTTCTCTAGTGAACTAACAAGCTGTGGATACTGATGACTTGCCTGAGGTAAATGAAATGCTACGTGACATTTTGTTTTGATGTAGTTGAAACACTGATTGAGAGATTACATGAGGCATGAGATGTTCATTCATGTTTATTTTAGTTAAAACTAGTAGTAAAGAGAAAGGGATGATCGCGCTCACTCGCGCTGTGCTGTTGTTTGAACTAAAGCATTCATACAGCGATCTGTCACGCCACATCAAAGCATGACATTATAGTTTGAATTTCCTGAAAAAAAACGACATATGAAAGATGAGACTTTGTCTCTTATCAAAAGTAACAGTAAATAAAACTGGAAGTTTCCAATGAAGTTTCACTTGTGCAGTAATTTGCTGTAGTTGCACATGCATACCGAACTGAAAAATTTTCTGTACGAATGCGTGTAACTTTACTCTCCTAATTCAGGTTACATCATCATTTTCAGACCACAATGGTTGATAATCATTGACCTTTAACCATAATTTTATACTTTGTCATTGTGCTGTTTTTGTGCTATTCCCCATTAATCGCATAAGATGGGTTGTAGTTTCATCAATTGGATACAGCAACACTATAGGTTTCATGTGCCATTGGCATACAATGAATAAGATCATGATCTTTGAACTTCATGGTAAAGATTAAAGGATTTGTGGGAGGAATTATGGTGGCATCCATGTTTGTAAGAGCGTTGAGTTCCAGCTTACCCAGAAAAACAATGGCTTTTCAAATCCCAGCGTCGTGTGTTGTTGTGGAAGCCAAATGTCAGGAATGTTGTTGTGGTTCTAGTGGATGGAAAATACAAAGGAAACATTTCTCTTGTATCACACTGCCGTCACTAAACAGTGTTCACTTGTTCATGCTGACTGAAGTGCTGCCGGTTTACTTTAGTCATCCCAAGCATTGTTTTGGCTGCAGTGGAGCATTCCATGTGACACCTCTGCACCTTCCCGCTCTCTGACTGGATGCTGGGAATGTTCTGGAATGGCAGATGGAATGTGGTTTTACCGTTGCAGGGCCTCACCAGCTATCCGTGTGCCCCAGGAGATGGCATTGTGGGAAGGGCTGGAGTTCACAGGCTCTTTTGATATAGAATAAACACTCTCAGAGGACTTTATTATATGATGTGGCACTGTTTTTCTTTTTTTGTAAGGCTCTTTTACTCTCTCACTCTTGTTTCTGGATGTTTTGTTGGGGTGTGACCTACTCCTGCCTCCTGTTAGAGGTGCATTGTGGGGGGAAAAAAACCTGTATGGGCTCAAAGGACCGCCGTTACAACACTGGCACTATTTGTATGCAAAACAGCCCTCATATCAGCTCGTTTCATTTCTTATGGTAACTGCTGAAGCGTTCAAACTGTCATTCTTTATCTTTAAGAGGCCGATGATAAAAAGTGTGTTTAACTGTAGGATAAGACGCAACATACATTCACAAATGAGTCCAAGAAGATGGGTGATGAAAGAAAGAGGAATAAGTTCAATAAATTAGCAGTACTGTATGATGGTATAAAAACAGGTATATATATATTTATATTTCTGTCATGACAACTCTCGGAGGGATTGGCTTGGTAATGTACATGGCAATGTTAATGTATTTGGTCTTGGTGGAATAGATCTTCTACGCTGCTGCTGTGGCAGAGCAAGTACCGAGACTTGTTACTGCCAATACATCCACAACATGCTGCTGTAAACATGTAAGAAATATTGTTGCTGCAAATACATGAAATAACCCCCATATAGCGCACAGGAATCACCTCGTAGCAGATCTATACAGGTGGAGCTGGGGAAGGTGGAGGGTTTCTGAAGCAAGCTGCAACTGCAAGCACTAGTCATATATTTGAATGTTGAGCAGCGAGCTCATTGGCTACCGATACAGGAGAGAACCAATCAGCTGTGCCATGTGATAATGATGTCATTAGGTCAGATTGAGTTAGATTGCATGAGTTGTTCAGGATACTTTTGATGGATAGAAAGTTTGAAAGAACAGCATTTTTTTAAAATAGAAATCTTTTGTAACATTATGAATATCCTTGTCACTTTTGATCAATTTAATGCATCCTTGCTGAATAAAATTATTAATTCCTTTCAAAGGAATCATACAGTATCATTCCCATGTTATAAATTCACTGATTTCGGTCACAAACTTCTTTAATACATAGTGATAGAGTTATGATGACTGATAAAAATATGGAGGGAAGAGGTTCACACATCAGGAAAGGTAAGAATAAAAATGTTAAAGGGAAACTAGAGAATAGAAGCCAGAAGTGAGAAGTGAGGCAGACTCTTGTGAAATATCTGACCTGCTCGTCTAACATGAGTTTACAGCTTCATACACACAAGAGTCATCAAAACAAAAGCTATAAATCTCATCATCTTCGTGATTCACAGACTGTGCCTGATGGCAGTAGACAGTCTCATACAGAACCACCTGTTCCTGTCAGGTCTGATATTGGGAAACTTTGACGACTGCGTGCGTTTATCTGTTTTATGAGGGTTTTCTTCAGACCATTAACTGAAAAAAAAAACCCTAATTTGTCTACATATGGACTAGTTTTTAGTTAAAAGTACATCACTTGCCATTTCTGTTCAATTACTTGTGGAATTTACTAGCAATTTCTGAGTAAAAATCTTCAAAGTAAATCGTACACTGAATATCCTTTCTCCAGATTTGATGATGAGTTACTACAAGACACACATTCAGACGGTTTCTCCAGTACCTCAGCATGCAAATGTTATAGATATGCCTGCTTCATTTGACTGCATAATCCATCATATTAATCATGAAAACTTAGCTTTATGTTTGGACAATCATTCAACGGTCTCGTGTGAGGTTTTGAACTTTGCATTGAGTTGTTTCAAGTTATTTCAGCTGCTACGTTAAAAATCTTCAAAGTAAATCGTACACTGAATATCCTTTCTCCAGATCTGATGATGAGTTACTACAAGACACACATTCAGACGGTTTCTCCAGTACCTCAGCATGCAAATGTTATAGATATGCCTGCTTCATTTGACTGCATAATCCATCATATTAATCATGAAAACTTAGCTTTATGTTTGGACAATCATTCAACGGTCTCGTGTGAGGTTTTGAACTTTGCATTGAGTTGTTTCAAGTTATTTCAGCTGCTACGTTGAAGAAGGAATGCTATTTTTGTTTTCATAGTGAGCTTGTTTGACTGAGCATTTTGTCTTTTTAGATTTTTATCGTCAACATTTGTCCCATATAAAACTGTTACTCCCTCTTCCCGTCCGTATGTTTGTCTGAACGTGTGAGTAATGGCTGTGAAGAGCCCTGAAGCCTCTCTGTGTCTGTTCTTACTGTCTTTCAGGCTTCAGTTCAGGCCAGTCAAACCTCAGTCACCTGTTCGCTGTAAATCTCTTTCAGACCCGCGTAACCACATAAGGTTGTTCAGCCAAAGAATGAGTCACGTTCCCAAAAAGAAACAAGGAAGGGATGTGCTGTGAGAGTGAGTTTAATGAAACAGATAGCGCCTCGCACTGCGGTGTAAGTCTTAGAGGTCAGTGCGTATTAGCCAGAGTCACTAGTAGCTGGATCGCTTTCACTTTAATATCAGTGTGAGCGATATTTCATCTAGCGGAGCGTGGATGACGGGTTCCATTAGTACTTTAAACGCTGCTTTCCTGCCAGTTTTTCTTGTAACAGTTCAACTTCACGCCTCATGTACCTTGTAGCTGTAAGGAAACGTTCACATCTCACTCGAAATGTTCACTTCCAGCATTCTCCCAGCAGGACGTTGAGCAAGTCATGCTTAGCAAGAGTGAGGGTTTCAGTTTTCAGCTGCTGGAAAACACTTATATGCATATGAGTCACTGAAGGTTGGTCTTGAGTAAAAGAAGAAGCCCTGTCAGGTTCTAGATTGGCGAGTAGCTACTTGCACAGCACCTCATCGGTCTTTGTCTTTGTGTGACCTTCTGTGTTTGATCTCATGTTTTTAACTTGATCGGTTAAGCAAATGTATTTTTTCTGACCATGCTGTCAAATGTTGTTGTTTGTGTTATTTCCATCTCCAACTGTTGGAATGCCTGCAAAATCCTATTACGCCCCTGTCACCCAAAGCCTTTCTCTTTCATAACATGTTAGGCCATGAACTCTGAAACCGTAGAAAATGAGTGGAGTGGATTGGCTTTGTTTCTAAAGACTTCTTTATTGATAAATCCCTTAGGAAAGAATTTTATGCTTAGGACTTTGATACAAGTCACAAGGCTCATTCACAAGCCAAACTGTGTTTCTCCTTAAGGCCTTTGAATTGCAGATTTGACCAGAAAACAAACTTGCATTGGGACAGTGGTCAGTTATGTCATTTCCTTTCAGAGTTCTGTCATTGATCAGTAATACTGCATATTAATTGTCTTTGACAGGTCTCTCCATCAGCACTTACGCAAAGTACTGCTACCGTAAGCTGCAAAAAGTGGCCATTACTGGGGGCAAGAAGGTAAGAGGTTTTTTATTATAGATTTTTAAAATATTTTTAATTAATTTATTATGGATTTTATAATAATAATAATATCAGTAGATGTCAGTTGATATCAGTAGATGTTAGATTTATTTAATTGTACTGCACATTTCCGTATTAGTTTTAGTTTTAAATTACAACTACTGACTGGCAATTATCTTTCACTTACAGTAAATCTGCAAATAATCAAATAATTACTAATAACTCTCTTAAAGGTAATCTTTAGCTAATGTCTAAATTAATATCATTTTTTTAATACGTACAGTATAATGTAATGCTTAATTTCACATTTAAAATGATTGATTTTAGTTTTTAGTGTTTATTTTATTTATTTAGACAATATATTATAAAGGGATAGATCATGGGTGGCGAACGTCGGTCCTGGCGAGCCGCAGCCCTGCAGAGTTTTGCTTCAACCCTAATCAAACACACCTGAACAAGCTAATCAAGGTCTGAACGGTTACTAGAAAGCTACAGGCAGGTGAGTTTTAATTAGGTCAGGTCTCAGGTTGCACGTTTTCTTGCGCAGCTGGATGTTGGACTCATGAAAAATAATCATGTTGTTTGTATTTGCCAAAACGGATTTACTGAAGTCAAAACACTGACGGAATTGGCGTTAGCGCGAGCGCCGCTTGCTGTGATCAGTCAGTGGTTAGCAGTCAAGAAACAGGACAAGGGAGGTCACGTACGGGACACATAAATTAAGCCCAATATACAGGACGTTCCAGCTAATATGGGACGGTTGGCAACCCTATGTAACAGGGACACGTTTTCTTTCAATCCTGTGCATCACGGCTCTTTCATGCCATCTTAAGCCTGTCACATTGGCTCCACCTTGTGGTCAAATGATCCAGCACACTATTCTCAGCTGGGTCCCACATGGTGCACTTGATGTGGCTTTTGTTTGTGCTTATCTGTACGGTCCTCAAGATTTTAGGCTGTCCCATTTGTCTTTTTATGATTGAGTAGGCCCCTTTATTGCTACAGTGTAGTCAAAGTGTGGAGCGCAAGGGCTGAGGGCAGCATTTAGGACAGGGTTCTTAGTGCTGTTGAAGTGTCCAAACACTTATGGCTATTAAAAAAGGTAAATAGCTTTCAGAAACAGACGAATATGTGTATCATAAGCAGGCTTGGCTGAAGCTGTTGTCTTCATTTTGTAGAGTACCGGGGGATATTGATGAGGTGAATGCTCTCAAGCTACAGGTGGACCAGTGGAAACTTCCAGACAACCTCTCTGATCCCAATGTCCCTGGTGAGAACATCAAACATTCACATTTATATCTCAAACAGCGAAAGTGAAAGACCTTTAGACCAGAGGTTTTCAACCTTCTGGACTTGAAGGCCCCCCGTTGTCTGACATTATATCCCCGAATATATTTAGGCTACAGTATTTCTGCTATAGTTATGACAAAACTGCAGAAATGTATTAGCAGATACCAGGGCTATTCTATTAAATGCATTTTGTGATTCCAGAAGTTTTTTTTATTATTATTATTATTAAAAACCATTGTTAGTGATGTGGAAACATTTGTTTACATCTTGATTTAATTTGGGGGCGGGGGGAGATTAGAGTTAGATTATTTTAAATGTGTGTTAACTTAACATATTAATATAAT